TTACTTACTTACTTACTTACTTACTTACTTACTTCTTACTTACTTACTTACTTACTTACTTACTTACTTACTTACTTACTTACTTACTTACTTACAGTATGTCTTTGCTTTTATTGTCCAAGCACGGTTTACTCATTTAATAAAAAAAATTGTATTTATTATGTTTTATTGTTTACTGCACATCATTTTATTGTTATTTCAATAATTTCACAGCAGTTCAATTAATCAAGTGACAGAAATAAACTTTGACTCGACTTGTGTATATATTTCAACACAATCAAACTAATAATAAAAATTTAACACAATGCTATTATTTACTACCTAACTGGCCAATGTTGTGACTATTGTAGATTAAAGTCTATTTTTAAGGATGCTACAAGCACTAATCTGGATTTGATAATATGACTGAGACATGCTGATGTGACGCGTTTGTTTGGTCAGTTTGAAAAACAAAACCTTCAGTCTATAATTTATGACAAAAGTTCTTACACAGCTATAATAATACTAAATGCTAGTCAGCGTGGCTCTTTTTACCAGCTTATTATAACCTGAATAAATTACAGTTTACAGACTTTAAAGATAATTATCTGTATTATAGCACACTTGTTGCTACTGTTCAAAGTATACAGCAGATAAAATGTTTGAAAGGCAGCCCTGTAACAAAGGCAGTCGTGTCATCGACAATTAAATGACAGCCCTTACCCGCTCGTAGCAGCTCTCTACGGCTAATCACGTCTGGCAAGTCTATCTCTACGCCTTTTAAAGCCCTCCTTTACAGAAACATTTAGCTGCATTTAGTGTGGCAGGGTACTGCTGAGAAACAGCACAGGCTGCCAGCAGACCATCTGTTCCCCTGGGCTTAATTAAGCTTGGGACGTCAGGCTCAGTGGCCACGGCAAGACCTGGAGGGATGCTGGGAGGACAGCCTGGATGTGCCGGGGCAGAAGAAACGTTATAAATGTAAAAGCAAGAAGTAAACTGAGCTGTGGTTACCTGCAGAATCACAAAAATAAGTCAATATTCTTTAAAAAACATTGATCGCAAAGTGTCAAAAGGTTAGGAAGCAGAAGTGAAAGGTTAATACTTTTTTGTTTAATTAAGTAAATACTAAAACAGAACCACACATCTAAGCACACTACACGGTATCACGTTATATAAAAAACAACATTTCACTAACTTCCTAGTAATTTGACATAAATATTAGGGCTGTGAAATTAATCCAGTTAACTCTGATTAATGTTAGTGCTGCATGGATATAGATTAAAAAATTTAATCGCGATTAAAATGTGCAATGGCTTTACTCTGGCTGAATATGTAGGTTTGTATATTACAATGCACTCAGTGCCAGGTCATGTTTGTGAATGAGAAGTGGTTCTCAAACAGTTTACCTGCATAAATAAAGGTAAAAAAAAACTCATTGTGTAAAACATTATGTACAGTTTTTTTCTTTTTTCTTCTTATGGCTTATTTTATTATTTTTATTTATGTTTTGCTGACAGCTGTGACCTCAGTATGCATCTTTCATTCCTCATGTAGTACTCATTTGGAAAGAAAATCCTTGAATCTTTGATTTAACCTCATTAATCTGCACAAAATTTAACTGGAGGCATTTTTTAGGTCCTGATTTTAGTTTTTTTGTGCAATCAAGGTAATATTTTCATGATTTATTATTATTTTGTGTATTTCTTAAGCACCAAACTTATTTCAAAATCAAGATATTAATTAATAACTCAAGTAATTTATTTTACCAATATGCAATAAAGTTTTATATTAAATTTAAGATTAATCGTGATTAATTTTGATTAATTCACAGCTACTTTGGAATTAATAGATTAAAAATTGTAATCATTTGACAGCCCTGGTAAATACTAAAACAGAACTACACACTACACGGTATCACGTTATACAAAAATCAACATTTCACTAATTTCCTAGTGATTTGACATAAATATACAATAAATTCAGAATATGCAGGTACTTAAAGCACGCCTTTAAACGCAGTGAAATATTCAGCATGATTAAAAACAAATGAGTTTGGACTAATAAAATAATTAGTAATAATAAAATAGTTTACAAACAAAATGACATTTTACACTAATTATGCAGCGTGTTAATTCTAGGTGCAACAACCTTCACTTTTTGCATCAAAGACACATTTAACAACGCAAATTAGGTGCTTTTATTTTGAAGGGTTTTGAGTCCAAACTATCAGTTTATAACCTGGAGTCGACCAATATTATTGACTTTAATTTATTACGTTTTGAGACTTTACTAAAACGACACTTTCTGAGTGTCCAGTGTTTACATTTTAAAATACGTATTGTTGATATTTAGCCGAGTTTAGCTAAAGGGACTTAGCTTAGCTGCGTCGTACCGCTAACTGATATTAGCTGATCGGTAGCTGTCCCGTTACAGAAGCGACCACTCACCACTTCAAAGCGACCGGCGGTCCGAGTTCAGGTCAGAGCAGCTTGTTGTTTGGAGGAGTTGAGCTGAAAAAAGACGAGGATAACAGAAAGTTCACACGTTAACCGCTCGCTGCTCACGGGACAGAGCTTTGTCCGAGCGCAGACGGGACACTTGTGGCTGGCTGAACTGCGCCACCGGTTGTTTTCAGTCGTTTCCGTGGCAACAGTGCAGCTCAACAGCGCCACCCTCCCGTCAGAGGCATTACGACATTGTCGTAAATGGGTACATTATAAATAAATAAACGAATCGTTGCATTTAAAACGACTGGGATCAGAATAATAATCAAATAACTGCAAAAATATTTATACTGAATTCTTTAGACATTGACTCACCTTAATATACAAATTCTTAATGTTCATAAAATAATTTTTATTTTAGTTGAAAAACATGAAATGTGCTATACAAATAAAATTAGTCTTGACTTAAATACATTTCACATAATTACCTAAGTGCCACCGGTATTAGGCAAAATTTTGTTAACAAATTAAAGAGTGGAAATAATATTAAGGAAAAAAGTTGAATACATGAAATAAAGCAGAAGTACCTCAAATGAAAATAACAAATTTGGGCTAAAGTTAATTGCACATATCATGAACCAAACATGATAAAACTGTAATAGTTGTATTATCTTTTCAAATTCAGAACCTAAAATTACAAATGAAACGTAAGAGAACAATTTAAACTGTGATTAATACATTTACTTTGAAAATTGTTCCTATTGTCAAGTTGAATCAGAGACTATATTATGTTTACTCTGCAACTGTTCTCACTCTTCTGGATTTTGGAGGGACATGGAAAAATTTGTCAAGAATAAAACTAAACACTGATGTTATAATCAGGTTTGAATGTTTTGATAAAAATTTGTGCTTCTTAATTAATCTAATGATCATATTAAGGAAATTTCATAAACATAAAGCAAGGTCCTCCAGATCTCTCCTGAACTTTAATGATTTCCACTTTAATTCATATGTAAATACTTTAAGATGAACTAAAAACAAGAAGGCAGAATTCACTCTGTTCAAAATTTAATTTTGATTAAGTCTGAAAGTCAAGAATTATAATGTGCCTTGGTTGCTGTATGTTTTTCATTTGATACATGATCTTTGTAGAGTGTTTGTGCTGATATCAGTTTCCTTTTGTTGGTTATTGTAACAAAAAGACAATAAAGTTTTGGAAAAAAAAATACCTATGGCTTTGTTAAAAATTTTTTTATTGAGGTTGTATAAGTTTGAAGCTTTTTTTAACCAGATATATAAGGGGCAGAACATTTTCCAGTTTGCCTTTAAAAAATAATTATACAATAATAATAATAAACATTTTATTTCTGTGAACGTTGCAGATCACATTATGAACACCAGGGGGAGCCAAAGATGCTTTACTGTGTCACCAAAATTACATTTTACCTAATAACCTCTATAAACATTTTGTAATTTTACACTTGTCTTTTTTTAATCATATATAAACCTCCTAAAGGTCAAACTCAATCCTGTTTTATTTTTAATGTGGAAATTATTTCCACATTACCTTCTTCAGGCGGTAAACTAATCATCCGATTTCCCTTTTATATCTCAATTGTCTGAACAGGCTCAATATATTCAGGAAAATTAGGTAGTCATCCTGTAATAAAATAAACTCACTTACTGCACTTTAGGGCATGAAGAATATGCTGTTATTTTTTTCTACAGTCATCTTCACACTTTTCCCTCCCTTTCATTTAACACACGTTTTACACGCTGGCATAAATGAATGTCTACTTTCTTGGCACGGCCCCATTAATCATCTCCAGCTAATGGGATCAGCTGTCATTTCATCTCGCAGAGAAGAACAGAAACTGTCTAATCTCATGCCGCCTCCCCGAAACCCTCCATTGAAGCCCAGAGCTGCCTTTTTTTCCCTCATTGCATTTCCTATTAGGTTAATCCTTTCTGACATCTCTGCTTTTAACCTCTTTTTCCTTGTGAGACTCCTTTTTTCTTTAAGCTCCCCGAATCTTAAATACTTACCTTTCTGTTGAGACGGAGACGTTGAAAAACCTCTTACGGTTTCCAAAGCGGCAGATTATTGCTCTTCATCTAAGAAGCAGCAACGGGGAAAAAAATACTTTGATGTAAGGTCAAACACACAACTATAGATAAACAGTAAAATGTTTGAAACATTTCGCTTCACAGTGTGTAAAATTAAAACGAAACCACTCTATTTTTTTTTTTCATATTTTGCTTCTAAGGTTTTCTTTCTTGCAGTCTTTTAAAACGCTCTTGATCAAAACTTCTCCAAGCTTTCTGAAGGTTTTTCAAACGTTTTCTTTAGCCCTTAGCTAATAAAGACCATCTATAGCTGACGACCCACATCTAAAAAATGGATAAAACCAAACAAGTCCTGGGTGATGCGTTTTACCACCTGAAAAGGAGATACAGAAAAAGCTGTGCTGCCTACTAATAATTAACAACTAAACTAATTAACCTTTACTGACCCTCCGAGGGGAAATAAATTCTCTAATACCAGTGACCTCTGTCCACCCTTTGCACCTGCCTATACTGCCTACAGGCCGGCCCTGGGGTGTACGATAGCTTAATTATTCTAAAACTAAACATAATTATTTCCGTCAAAGATTTTCACAACGTAATGCTTTTAAAAAAATGAACGATTCATAGGTCAGAGTAAAAAGATTTAAACAAACAGAACAGAAAATAAATAAAAGACACAGTCCGTGCTCGGTTTATCTACAAAAGCTTTTAGCACCAATGACAAAAACACTTTTTCCAATAATAAATTTTATTAAAAAGGAAACCCAACAAGATTTTTTTTTACATAATGATCAAGGATTTTTATTATCTTAGTCTCTTTCATCAGTTTCATATCATTACAGAAAATGTTATAGTACAGCGTTGATCAATGTCTCCTCATTGCTTAATAATTTCCTTAGGAGTGCTGGTCACATGTATCTGTACAATATGGTTATTTATTTATTTATTTATTTTTTCTCTGTACATTTCGTGTGAAGTTGGTTAAAAAGGCTGTCAGCACTTAAAGAAGCTGCTTCTTTTGAGTATTTTTCTTAAATAGTTGATCAAATAAAAGGTTATTTCTCCCAGGCTCAGCTCGCCCGGTCACCGTGATTATAAGGAAGCTTCAGGGGTCTGGACCCCTCCCGCCCCCCCCACC